CCAGAACTCCTGAATCACTGACCAGCATTCCAAATCCATGCCCTTTGAGCAGGCTGGCCAGGAGCACAGCACAACATCTCACTCCTAGGCAGCACTAGGTCAGGTTTGTCTAACCTGGGAAAAGCCACAAGCACCCAGAGATGCTTATTTCTGTGAGGAACAACAATGTTCTGGGAGTGCTCAGGAGCAGACACACACAGAGCTGCATTTTGTGTCCCCTTCCTGACCACCAGCACCGTGCCCCAAACCACATCTTTTGGTCTCTCTGCACATGGGAACAGTGCTCTGGCACGAGGAGCTTGGGAAGGGAACCTCCATCCCTCACACAAATTGCAGCCCATCCGTTGCACCCGCCCAAAATAATTAAGCAGTGGCATTCCAGGCACACCAGCTTATTTTGAGATCAGAAATGACTGGGAAAGAGTGGAAAAATTATTAGGTTAGCTCTGAGAAGGGTGCTCAAAGGTGCCTCCCTGAGTTCTGTGACCTACCTCAGGTTTGGAGGCCGTTTCATCTAAAATAAAAATACTTTGGGTGAAAGGAGGTTGCCCTCCATAATGAAATCTAATCCTGATTTAGACACACAAATATGGAGCCTGGCCAGCTTTTGAGGGTAGTCTGTGTGAACACTGTATTTGCTCAGGATCAGTCCAGGAGAACTCTGGCAACCATCATTTCAGCTAAAAAAAAACCCCAGGGTGCTGCTGGTTTTGCCTCCCTTAGAAATCAAATTCCCACTCCACAGGAGAGCAGCCTGATGACACCACATATAGAAATGCATGTCCCTCCATCAGGACAAAGTGGAAACGTTCAGGTGACATTATCCTGGCAGCCCTGCTCCAGAAGGAGCTGTTCCTGAACTGAAAACCACGTGTGTATTTTTGTTTCTGCTCCCCAGCTCCATAATTAAACACTCCAGGAGAAGGTGTTGGGCCCAGATATTATTATTTTCCTCTCACTTTTTTTTTCCACAGCAGCAGGTTTTTGCATAAATTACTCCTGAGAGGAAGCCTTTCCTGCCTCGGCTTCCCCCAAGGGATGATGTTATCAGAAAGCAGGACACTGTTTATCTGCCTTCCACGGCCTCCACAAGCCTCCAGGATGCCAACAGCAACACCCTCCCACATCAGAGGGACGGGGAGTCCCACTCAGAGCTCGGGAAAGCAGCAGGACAGATGCTGCCCAGCTGGAATCCCAATAGGGTGAGTGGTCAAGCAGGCTCAGCCTGGGGGAGCAGGCACACATTTTTCCCCTGGGGATGTACCTGCTGATGCTGCTGCTGGGCAGGGTCCAGCTGGCTGCCCCTCCAGGGACTGGCTCCCTCCGTGCTGACAGCAGGGAAAACCCTTGGCCAGGGAGGAAAAGGCTCTGACTCAGGAGCAGCCGGGCAGAGGGGCTGGTGAGTCACTGCTGCTGCTCACACACAGCTCCCTTTGCTGACTAAAACTCTTTGCAGCCTCTTCCACCTTTTTCTTCTTATCCTTCAGCTTTAACCAGTTCCTCACTGGCTCGTGGTAAAGCTCTGCCAGAAGCTTCACTAATTCCCTCAAACCAAACCTCTCAAATCCCAAGCTGTTTTTTTACCTGCTGTGGCATTTCTTTGCTCAGGACTCCACATCTTTGCCTGAACACCAGTCACCTTGCAAGTGGAAGAGGGACTCCGAGGTGCTCCACCTGCTGAGAGGCTTCCAGGAGTGTTTTTTTCCAGACCTGGACACACCAAAGGCAATGACAGTCCCTCTGCCTGAGCAGCACCAAGCTTTGATTGCTGAACAAGTGAAAAATCTCATTTTAGAACCAGTATTTCACGTTATTCTTCTATTTCCAACTAAATTTTAGCCAATTCCATTTAGCCCTGTTTCCCTTTCCTAAGGAAACAAGGCACCTACAGTTATGTGGCCCCACTGCCCATCCAACCTCCTCCTTCTTCCCATTATTTTGAACCACAACAGAAAATTTCAGCTGCATTCAAGAGGACAGGTCTCAGTTTTATAGTTCTTAGTGCCCAGGCAGGGAGCAAGACTAAAAAAATTCCCTAAATCAGGGAACTGACGCAAAAGTGACGTTTCCTTAAATTCCCTGGCTCACAGAACTCCTTGTTGCAGTTTTGTCCCTGTGTTTTATAGGGAAAGTCAAGCAAGAATGGATCCTTCCACAGGAAAGCCAGCAGCACACTGTGTTTGCTCAAAGCCAGCTCAGATGTCTGCAGGAGCTACAGTTATTGATATTTTATTTATTTATTTTGAAATCAGTAGGAAAAACAAACCCCACTTTTCCAACCCGCTCCAGGTGAAGGACTGAGTGCTGTTATTTTTGGAAGAGGAACCCATCAGGCTCAGCCCAAATGAACCCAAACCAGGATGTTTTCCCAGTCAGAACAGAAATGCCAGCAGCAGAACACGACTGGTGAAAAGAAAAGATGTCATTTTAAGTTGTCCACAGGTGCTGTCTGTGAGATCAGACAGTGGAAACAAGCCTAGTTTGTTAAATTTGGAACCCCCGGAGCAGGGATCAGACCCACTGCAGCACAGCTGCCTTCAGAATTTGAGAAGGACCCAGGGCTATTAAAGCCAACAAGCATACACCAATATTTTGACAGTTTTTCCTATGAAAGTGTCCCATTTAACACAGGCATGAGCTCACCAGAGTAAAGGTAGCCACTGTTTCTGCTCAGGAATTATTAAGCAATGATAGTCAGGTCCTATTAATCCCCTAAAAGGTGTTTTGTACACCAGATGCTCATAAGCTTTCCCTGACATGGGCTACTCACTTCTTTTTAAGACTGGTCTTGAGTTTCCTAATGGAAGAAAGAGCAGTTCCCACAATATAGACATGGAAAGAACTTGGGCTTCCAGTGCCAGAGTTTTGCTATGCAGAGAAATGCTCCTCTCCCTCTGATATTAAAACAAAAAAAATCCAAACCAAAACCAAACAATCACAGAAAAAAACCCAAACCAAAATCAATCAAACAACCCCACACACAGAATACAAAAACAAAGAAAAAAACCCCTGACCCCCAACAAACAATAAGCCCAAACAGAAATCCAACACTGCTTTGCAGGGCAAGCACAAGAGTTCTAAACAAAAGGAACATCCTTTTGTGCTTTAAACAGGCACCAGTTGCTTTTAACCAAGACCAGCAGCCTGCTGGACTTTCCCTTTTTCCATGCCAGACTCCAGAGTTGAACAGAATTCATTTGAAGTGACCCAAAACTACAGGAGATATTACCAAGGAGCCTGTTCCTGTGGAGAATTGAAGCAAAGGCTAAAATCTTTTCCACAGACCCCAGACCATGAGGGGTTATGGTTAACTTGGGCATGAAGAGGTGAATTAATTGCTAAGATGATGCAATTTATACACACTTCAAATGTTTCTACTTTCCACCCATTTGGGCTTCAATCCTTGTTGCCAAGTGACCAACTTTCCTGGCTTCCTGATCTGCCCTGCAATGAAGAGGGTGCTCCCTTTATAAAAAGGTAATTGGAATTAATGTTCTACTTCCCATCAGTACCATAAATCCCCTCCTTCTGCATCATTTCTAAAAATCCCCTGTCAGTGCAAACACCTCATCTCTGTGAGCACTAAACAATCATCTACCTATGCAAAGCACTGGTAGCTGATCCAGGCTTTTCCACCCCTGTGCCAAGCAAGCCTATCTTGGATTGTGTTCACACAATAGTTGAGGAAAAAGCTGCAGGAAGCAGTTCTTTTGCATTGCTTCCTTTCCCATATAAAGCCAGGCCTGGTCCTCAGCTGTGAGTTATTCTGGATCCATTTGTGTGGCTGAAAGAACTGTTATTTTATGTCCAGAAGCTTCTAAAACACTTGAAGAACCACGCTGATGTAACTGAACACCACGTTTTCTACAGAAGACTCCTAAAAATGCATTTAATTCTTACCCTACTAGGAAAAGCTGCTATCCAGGCCAAGGAGACAACCAAAATTTCATTTGCCAGGAAGCATTATTTGCCAGCATTAGAAAGAAATGGTGTTTCTGCCACTGCCACCACGGCTCTGGGCTCCCACTCTCCCAAAAGGCAGAACACTCTCTGAGCCTGCAATGTGGTGGTTTTGGCTAAAAGAAACAAAATTCAGAACTTTAGGCCCTTCCAAGTCAGCTGACTTCCTCTTCTAGAGCCAAATCACTTCAGCACAAACCTGATCACTGTGAGAAAAACTATTAAACTCGATGTTCTCAGCTGAGCTCACTGTCTGATTTGAAGTGCATGCAATCCAAGAATTAAGAGTAGAAGCATGAGAGAAACTGGGTTTCTATACCAATTTTGAGGGACCTTTCCAGACCAATGACTGACACAAAATCATCATCCCTCTGCTTATCTCCAATCTCTGGAATAAAGAGCGTGGATTTGTCTCAGCAACCTCCTGCTTCCAACCATTTCCTCTCAGGACAGCAAAATAACGAGACAAAAGAGAAATCTTCCAAATCTTAAATATTTTGGGAATTATAACAGTCAAACCTGGGGGTTTTTTTTGTTATCACAGCTACACATACACATTTGCTAAGTGTGCAGATATTTTGGAGAGGAACAGCAGCTCACAGCAAAGCTTTGTGAACAGGATCTCCTGGACTCGTGCTCCCTCTGCAGAAAAATTCAGCGCAGCTTTCATCTGTCTGATCCTGTTCAGCAAAGTGAGGGAGTTTCAAATTGCATCCTGTGCTCAGGAACATTAAAGCAGAATAAAGGGAATGCATTTTCAGGGCACTGCAGAGTGACCAGCCCAAAGGAGCTGATTGTTCCTCCCTCCTCTCTCAGAGGTCAGTTCACCCCCAGGAATGCAGACAGAGAAAAGTTAAATCACACTGAACCACCCAGAACTGCCCCAAACACAAAAACCAAAAGCAGAACCCAAACCAGAGCCCACATATAAAGCCCTCTGTCAGGGTTTATTTTAGATACCTGTATTTTTTCACAGCTTTCATGACTCTCTTCAACCATGCAAAACCAGGTGATTATTACCAGGGTTGTCTCAGGCACAGTTTTTGTAGTTAACGAATAATTAGCTCTGAGCTTTTATTGATACCAAGATCTGGATGTTCTGTGTGACAGGGGTCAGTCAAAGAAAAAAAAAACAACAGTTTTTTATTAGCACAAAATAGAGCACAAATGTGCCTTTAAGGTTGTCCATGCAATGCCCAAGGCACATGCACACCAAGGCTTCAGATAAAGCTTTTGCAGATACAGACACATTCTATGGAATTCTGATCCAACTCCTATCTCCCCAGAATTCTTAGAAAACACCAGCCTTTCTGAAATAAGGCTATGAGAGAATGCAGTTTTGACCTTTTCCAAATCTTTGTGTCATACATACAATCAAGAAGAATTCTTCCACTGATCCCATCTCCCACAACTGATTGTTCTTATGTTCTAATTAATCAAACAGGAATTCCAGAAATTCAGCTGCAGCCCCAGGACACCTTTGCTCAGACAAAAGAGCACAGAGCAGCACCAAACCACCACACAAAGACCTCACACCACTCCTCTGGGGAGGAAAAGCAAATTCCCATCAGGTCTGTGCTTGGAAAACTCCTTCCTGCTAATTTCATCACATTCAGAGAAAGGGTAAATGTCATCCACGTACTGCAATATTTTTTTTAATTACAATTACAGGTCAAAACTCATGGCAGGTGGGGTTTTATCGCTTTGAACTCCTCAGGTATATCTTGGGTGTTTGCCATCCTGCAGGAGGGCCTTTCAAACCAGCCCTTTTCCAGATGCGCTCCAAATCCTTCTCGAATTTTATCTAAAACAGGAAAAAAAAAGGGGAAAAAAAAGGTAACACAGTCCAGAAGCAACACCTGAATATTCATTCACAGCCACTGCCCACGTGTCCCAAGGACAATCTGAGTGTAACACACACAAAGGCAGCTTAAGTGACAAAATATTTAACCTTGCTGCAGAAAATACATAATTAGACAATAAAATGCACGAGGATCTTGGTGGCGTTATTTTAAAAGCCAGAAGATGGACAATAAAATCAGAAGAAAATTAAGAGGATTTTCTCATCATTAAGTGTTCAACACTGCCTCCTACAAATCTGAAGACATGGAATTACAATTAACCCCAATTTGCATCCAGGCAAGGTGAGAATTAGCAGTGAATGAACAAAACTATTACAGCAAACCCTACTGAAAGGCAGTGCTGAATGAGAACATCCACAGCTTGAACAGAGGTCCATGTCTTCCCCCACCCCTTCTATTAATGGAATAAAAAGACTTCTCTATAGGATAAAACAACAGGAAGCACTTGAGGATGTTGGCAAGACAGGAGAGAAATTAAGATTAAACCAATCTCCCTGATACAACACAGACACATCTTTCACACAAACAACAAGATTCTTCTCCATCAGCCACATGTTTTTGTAATTTACTGTCATGGAAGAAAAATTTCACCTATTAACTATCTCACCATCCCAGAATCATTAAGGTTAGAAAAGGTCTTCAAGATCATCAAATCCACCCTGTGCCCCATCCCCAGCTTGTCCCCCAGCCCAGAGCACTGAGTGCCACATCCAGTCCTTCCTTGGACACCTCCAGGGGTGGAGACTCCACCACCTCCCTGGGCAGCCCCTTCCAAGGCCTGACCACCCTCTCCAGGAAGAAATTCCTCCTGATGTCCAACCTGAACCTTCCCTGGCACAGCCTGGGGCTAAACACTGAATTAAGGCTCTCCAAGCTGCTGCTTTAAAACAATTCCACTTCAAAACATCCCCCCAACACCCAAACAGGGGCCGTTTTGAGGAGCGGCCACGTTGGCACCGGGGAATCCCCCCTTCCCTGAGCTCACCTGACGCCTCTTCTTGCGCCCCTCCTTTATCCTCCTGCGGATGAACTTCCTCCTCTTGAGCAGCTTCTTGTACTTGTGGCGGTTCATCTTCCTCCTGCGGATCTTGAGGACGTTCTTGCACTGCACCGTGTCCCCGGGGGCTCCCCCTCCTTCCCCCACGGCCACTCCCCCGGCGGGCGGGGGGCACTCGGACCCCTGGGGGGGCTCATGGCCCACCTCCTCCTGAGCTCCCTCTGCTTCGGGCAGGGAATATCTCACTGACAGCCAGCTCTCCAAGGGGCTGATGGAGAGTTTCCTGGGAATCAGGATCTCCTCCAGCTCAGGGTCCAGGGTGTGCCACTGCTGGGGCTGGGCCCCGCTGGTGTTGGGGGGCTGGGTGCTGTAGTGGGCGGTGGTGGAGCGGCAGCAAAGGAAGGAAGACACAGACCTGGGCAAAAGGTGGCCTTTAGGAGAGAAGAATTTCGTTTAGAAGGCAGAAATTTTCACGAGAAAAGCTCTGCCCAGCTCTCAAACCACCAGGCAGCTCTGGCCAGAACAGTGTGACAGAGGAAAAGCCTTACAAAAACTGTACTGTCATCACAAAAGCAAGGAAGTCTTTCTAAATTTTAATTACACTGCTATAATGCCACCTGCTAAAAATACACTGTACTTTACTGTGTGAACTGCCCAAGTCACCCAGGTAGAGCAGGGTGGAGGTTCTCCTTCAACTGAGCAGACCTGGGCTAGTGAAAGGTGTCCCTGCCCACGGCAAGGGGTTGGAACTGGATGATCTTTAAGGTCCCTTCCAACCCAAACCATTCCGTGATTCCATGAAGTGCAATTTGGAACGGCGAGGAACTGTTTGCTGTATCAAACCTTTGCTTTGCTAAGGAATATCCTCTTTGGCTTAGAAGAGGTTAAATCAGAGCTACTCAATCCTGACATAATAGATCTGAGAGGTAATAGCACTCAGCAACCACTGACTCAACAACAGCCTCCTCCTCCTGCCATTGCTTCCCAGAAAAGAAATTTCTGAGACAAATTACCCCGGAAAAAAACCCAAACAAATAAAAACAAGGTCCCACAACACCAGTTTTACCTGCAATTCTCGAAGCCTTCAGTAACTGGGAACTCAGCTGTGATATTAACATTTTGTTTCACTTTGTTGACTGGCAGAGCCAGCAATGACTGTTAAAATAAGAACATTTACTCAAGGAGGCAAACATGCATTTTACAAAAAAACCCTTGTCTATTTAACCCCAACCCCCCAAAAAGACGGGCTGAGACACCCTAAGCACCCTCCTCGTTTCACTATATCAGCCTGCCGGGCCGTGCTGTGGGGGCCAAGCACAGGGGATTAGCTGAGCCGCGGAGGTGATTAATTAATAAAGCTTGGGCTGCTTCAGCTTTAAAAACACGGCAGCCGAGTCTCCCCCGTCACAGCTCCCCTTCAGGCCCGGAGGAGCAGCCGCTCGGCCCTAACGATGGGCCGGAACCGACGGGCTGCCCCCGCTCCCCGCAGCCCTCCCAGCGCTCCCCGCCGCCGCCGCCCCGAGCCCCGGCACGGCCCGCACGGAGCCCGCCCGACCCTCCCTCCCTCCCCGGCCCCGCCGCCATCACCCTCCGCCACCCGCCATCACACACCGGCCCCGCCGCCGCCGGAACTTCCGGAGCCACCGGCGGCGCCCTCTGGGGGTGGCCACGGGACGGCACCGCACGGTCCGTAACGGCCCTTTATGGTCCTTCTTGGTCGGTTCTTCACGGCCCTTCGTGGTCCTTCATGGTCCCCCACAGCCCCTCACGGTCCCAGTCTCGGCCCTTCACAGTCCCTCACGGTCCTTCATGGTTACGGCCCTTCACGGTCCCTCACGGCCCTTCACGATCCCTTATGGTCCCTCACGGTCCCAGTCTCTGCCCTTCATAGTCCCTCAAGGGCCTTCATGATCACGGCCCTTCACAGTTCCTCACGGCCCTTCGTAGTCCCTCACGGTCCTTCATGGTCCCTTATGGTCCCTCACGGTCCTTTACAACCCCTCACGGCCCCTTATGGTCCCTCATGATCCTTCACGGTTCTTCATGGTCCCCCACGGCCCCTCATGGTCCTTCATGGTTCCTTATGGTCCCTCACAGTCCTTCACAGGCCCTCATGGTCCCAGTCTCAGCCCTTCGTGGTCTCTCACAGTCCGTCATGGTCCTTATGGCCCCTCATGGTCTTGGTCTTGGCCTTTCATGGTCCCTGATGGTCCTTCATGGTCCCTCATAGTCTCTCACAGTCCATCATGGTCCTTCATGGCCCCTCACGGTCCTGGTCTTGGCCCTTCATGGTCCCTGATGGTCCTTCATGGTCCCTCACAGTCCTTCATGGTCTTGGCCCTTCATGGTCCCTCATGACCTCTCACAGTCCTGGTCTCAGTCCTGGTCTTAGTGACATTGTGGGACCATCTCAGACTGAGCCCTCCCAGCTCCCTCAGCTTCTCCTGGTGCTCCAGACCCATCCCCTGCTTCAATCCAAAATAAATCATTCAACCAATTCAAACCCAGCGTTTCCATCACCCTCCAGGTTTCCACAGACACCTCAGTCGCACTTGGAAAGTCAATGTCTGTGTTGTGTTCACCTGCTGAGTCACAGCTGAAACAGGTCTGAGCACGGAAGCGTGGCACAACAAGCCACCTCAGGAGGAATTTTAGACATCAGGAGGAATTTCTTCACAGAAAGGGTTTTTAAACATTGGAAGGGGCTGCCCAGGGAGATGGTGGAGTCACCATCCCCGGAGGGGTTCAAGGAACGCCTGGATGTGGCACTCAGTGCTCTGGTTTAGTTGACGAGGTGGAGATCAGTCAAAGGTTGGACTTGATGTTCTTGGAAGTCTTTTCCAACCTCAGTGATCCTGTGATTCCGTTCCAGTGAGACAGTCTATCCCTGTTGCCATGGGGATCATGGAAGGCAGGCAGACACCTCTCCCTTACACACCCTCGTCTGCATCCGTGGGCAGGTCTCGGTGGCTGCTGTCCAGGCACAGCCACACCTGTCTCTCCCTCTTACCTGGCTGTTGTTTGTCTTTTCTTACTTTGGTGCAAGAACCCACCATGTTGGCACAGCATGAAAGTGCCTAATCAGCTGGCATGAGGCAGGGATGGTGAAGCCAATCCCAGACTTCAAAGAACGTTTTGCTTTTATAGCTCCCTCAGCAGCGCACAAGGGATTTATTCACCGGCTGCTTTTAGTGTTTCAGACCAGAACAAGGGTCTGTCTCAGTTTTACACCCCACCATGTCAAACTCATCTAGCCTGAAAGGGAACAGCAATGGCTGGAGTTCTTTCTTGCAAGGTAGAAGTGCAGTTCTTTGGTCAGGGAAGAGAAACCAACGAAGAGAAATGAAGTAAACAGACTGGTTTTTTAAACAAGACTTTATTGAAGACACTTCAGAAGTTTATGTACAAAACAACATTCCCACCCCCATATCAGGATGTTAGTCACCCGCTGGGAACGAAGCAATGCCTGGTGTATGCTGTCAACCTGGGGACAGTTTGCCAAGGAATTTACAGAAGTACCAAATTCACATGGTTTAGAGCTGGGCACTTTCAGCCTTGGCTCAGTTAGGACCAAAGGAAACCAAAGGACCTTTTTCCTGGAGACATGTCTCCAGCAGACTGAGCATCCTGGGATCTGACAGCCTACACTGGCCTTGCTCTGAGGTCAGGTCATTTAACTCTGCAGAGAGCAAGAGGCCCGCTTTGGTTTCAGAAGTGAAGAGGAACCAGCCCCTGGATTTAACTCGCAGGTTTTAATCCATTTCAGACGGTTCCAGGAGATACCCACCACCACCAAGAGCACAGTAGTGTTTGCAGGAAGCATTAGAACAGAGCAGTAGCAATATCGAGTGAGAGAGTCAGCCACTTCATTTTTCAAAGACACCTAGAGAGGCTGGATATCAGACTGGCTACTTCAACTAGTGTGTGAGAAAACCCCAGAGACACAGACATGAGAGGTTAGAGTGTGGCTGACGTGCTGCTTCTGTAGTAACCTGTGCACTTCTACCATGGTAGAGTTTCCCCTTGCCAGTCCAGGAAGGAACCATTCTCTTTTTCACCAAGACGGTCCAGAACAGAGAGAATACCTGGGATAGCCTCTTGCACCTGCATGGGAGCCTGGAGAGAATCAAGCTTGGGTCATTACTGGGAATTTCCTACGGAAGAGAATCAAATGCACTTAAGGAGTTACTAGAATCAAGAGGGATGTATTTTCCTGCTTCACAATGTGCCTCTGCAGCACGTGGAGGTGAACACTGTGCCAGGGGCTCTTGGGATAACAAGGGAGCCCTAATTCCACGTTTGCAGAGATGTCACTTACCATGTTTCCACCCATGTCTGTCTGGAGCCAGCCTGGATGCAAAGAAATACAGAGAATTCCATCCGATTTCAAGTCTGCAGCAAGACACCTGGTGATCATGTTCAGTGCAGTCTGCGAGAGTGGAAACCATCTATTAGGGGGCTGGTTTATAAACCTCAAGCAAGACCTCAAATCAAGCTAATTGGCACCTCCCTTGCACCATTCTGACAAAGGAAGGGGCAGTAATACGATCACAGTAACTTATCCAGACTTACTGGGCCTTCATTCTCAGAGACACCTGTTAATAGAACATTGTGGAAGCTCTATAACCACAAGTTGACTGCCCAAAGGTGAAACTAAGTTATGATGGAAGATACGGCAGCATTTGAAACTCCTGAGGAGCTGTGAGGAAAATAATGTTGACATAAGGGCTGTGTTTTTCTGCAATAATCACTACACAAACCTTCATTTACTTCTGAACAGGGAAAACAAGCATTTAACAGCTTATGAGTAGGTGGTGTAGGAGAAACTCTGTGTCTGATCTTCACTATCCGTACGAACTCAGTCTCTGGAGGTGAGAAAACTAAAAATCCCACCTCTCACTAACCAGCATCACCACGTACAGGTCAGCACACCTTGTGCTGAGTTCCGTGCTCTCTCTCCTCCACTGGAGAGGAACGCAGCTGTCAGCACACACATTTCATGGCATCAGTTCTTCCCTGAATGCCAAATCCCTCTGAATCACAGCAGCGATTTGGGAGCCTGTTCTTCAGAAGTTCACATGCTCGCTCCAGGTGTTTTACAGGCCCCACTTCCACCCACGTGGAGAACAAGCACAGTTTCTGTGTCCATCATCACCATCCTAAGCTCAGCGTGGTCTCTAACTCCCAACCTGCCCTCAGCCCACGGGAGCCCACAAACCTTGGCTATCCTGTAGGGATAGACCTTGAGGAACATCTCATTTGCCTGGACGAGCTGCATGGAGGCAGCGAGAGAGGACATGTTGATAATAGCAGCTCTGTGGCAGCCCATTCCTGTGCTCAGCTGGGCTGCCTTCCTCAGGAGGGGTAAGAACGCCTGGGAAAACAAGAGTTTGGTTTAATTTCATGTTTTGGTTTGATTTAGTTTGCGTAATTTCCCCGTTCAAGGCAAGCCAGGCCCTTGAAGAATTCTAGTACCACCAGCACAAAATGGTCATGACTCCTCAGACTTGGTGGCCATAGGAAACCTTCCTACAGCAGCCAGCTGGAAGTAGCAAGGACCTTCAGACTCTTCCACCCACCTCCTAACCCCACCTGTCCACTGAATTGACCTCACCCCAGGTAGATCTAAATGCAGAGAAAGGTCCTTGACAAACTGCTGCTCTCTAGACACGCAGTTCAACATCAGAACTGTATCCATGCAGTTCCAAGGGGAAAAACACTTTGGTTACAGGAGAAAACCCTCTTTAGTACCCTAGATTAAGCACATTCCTCCCAGTTCTTACCTTGGTGACCATCAGCTGGGCAACAGTGTTGGTTTCATAGATGGTGAGCATCGTCTCTGCCGTGACCTCTTCCAAGGAGGCGAGCACGTTGATGCCGGCGTTGTTGATGAGGCAGTTCAGCCCTTTGTCCCCCACGATTTCTTCCACTTCCTTGACTACTTTCTTGATGCTGTTTTCACAGACCACATCTGCACAGAGGAGGCACAGTGAAGAGTGTGGGTCAGAGCCTGCCTGGCATGACACAACACTTGCCCAAACCAAAGCTAAAGCTGAGTGGGGACATTTAGGCAGCGCAAAGGTGACAACGCACAGAAGATTTTAGATAGATTTTGTTTCCCCAGTGTTATCTTAAGGGGGTTTTCAGCTGCTGGAGATCATGTCCAGCTACTGATCACCCAGGAGAGCGGGTTCTTAAGGTGCACTCACCTGAGGAAGTTGAACATATTTCTATGGGCAGAAATAAAGCCCTTTACTCACCCAATTGGAGGAGCTTGACATTGCTGTACTGCTTGCTAAGCTGCTGGAGTTCCTAGGAAGAAGAAATTTTTTTTGTTATCTTCTACATATATATACAGAGAGAAAGAGAGAGAGAGAGAGAGAGAAAGATCTCCATGGCTATTACATAAAACAGTTTGAGATCTGCACCTCCAGAACTGTAACTGAAATATTTTCATGACTGGACTGAAGGCATCGATGCTACTTCGTTTTCCAACCTGCTGAGCAGCTTTTCTGAGAGCCAGATCAACTGCTCCAAGAAACTGGACTCTTTCCCTGCTTAGTCAGATCCCAGCATGCTGGATTTTTAGTGGGATAGTTCTCAGTGTGTTCAGCTCCAGGGTGTATTTGCAGGGTAAGCACCAAACAGCAGTTCCACAGCAGCCCCAGGGCTCAGGCAGCATTCCAGTAAAAAGCCAGAAATTCCCCAATTCTGTAGGAAAAGCATCATTCTCCCAAAGCTCAGCTAGTGCTACACATCACTTCAGGGCAACAGGAATTATTAAATTGGAATTACTGTTTGCAGGAAAAGCAGTTTTCCCATGGAAATTCTGCTTCCCCAGCAGCCTCGTTAGCATCTGTTCTTGTAGCTGAAGGTGAAGCACACATGAAACCAGTTCCATGCAACAATAACATTCCCTGCTATAATTCAGTCATCTGTTGACTGCCTCTGAGCAGAGATTGGTGTTCCTGGAGAAAATCAGGACTTTGTGGTGTTACGGCTGGACAGAGTGTGTCCAAATTGGATTTATAGGCCCAGCTGGAATACTTGGGTTTCTGTGCCATGCAGCCAAGTGGGAAGCGTGGCCAAACATAACAGATGGATTGCACACTCCCAGTCGTGTTCAGGAGACAGCAACCTGGCCAAACATTCCAGCTCAAGCAAATCCCTTTCTTTAGGAGCCCTTTGGGAATGGGGGTCAGGAGGGCTGGTTTTGAAAGAATACTTCTCTGCCACTTGGAGACACTCAGGGACTCGGTGTCCTCTGACAAACTATAATACATTACAACTTTTATCTCAGCTCATATCCTGCAGGATTCTCTCCAGGCTTGTTTGGGAAATTTGTTCTCCCACTGAGGCCAATCTACAACTGCAGTTCAGGCTATTAAGGGGAGGGGGAAGGAGAACAAGTCAGAAGTACAAAACCAGAAGACATTCCTTCCCTTGGACAGGGCTTAATGGGGCAGTTTTCAATAAATTAAAGGCCCAGAACACACTGTCTTGCTTATTGACAGTCCAGGATGAAATAGTTCTGCCATGTCAAGGCCTGCAATAATTACATGGCTTTGGACTGTCACTGGATTTTTGACAATATCACTTAATTGATAATAAACTCCAGAAGTGCTCTGGCTTCTCAGGGTTTGTTCATTTATTTATAGTTCATTTGTTTATATGCTTTATTCTCTGACAGAAACAAGCTACTAAGTCCTGCTAAAAGGCCAGAGCTGTTTTGTGTAGCAACAGCAACTGAGAGGCTTCTGAGGTGAGTAAGCAATATTTTCAACTAAGAACTCCAAACACTGTAGCATTAAGCACTCTCCAGAACATAAACAGCATGAAATTACAATCACTGCAGGCAAATCAAGTTTAAAATTCAATGGTTTTTCCCGTTAGTTAATTACTTAGTTAACAAGTGACTCCCACTGCAGTGGTTAAAGTTTCTCAGAAGCAACTTCCAGGCATAAAGGTAACCTAGACCTGGGTCCTCAAGAATGTTACACCTGATACAAGCTGAAAAATCCAGTTAGGAAATCTAAAAATTGCAGGAGAGCCTATTTTTTCCCCTACTGTAACTAGAGGAACATGAGGAAAGGAGGACAGAGACAAGCAGGTCCAGCCAACATATCCCAGCTAAGGCATTTTCAGTTAGTGACAGCCAACTTAAAAACAAAGACAAACAAAACCCAACAAAAAAACCACAACACAAAGCCCTAATTCTGTGTTTAGTGTAGTAGCTCTAGAACTGTCCTGCACCAGAATAGTCACCCCTGAGAATCAACTCTTAGGGAGTCCAAGAAGAAAATTAAACTCTGATTAGCATCTGTTGTTTCCTGCTTGCTGATTTTTTAATTACTATTAACAAAGAGTCAGCCTACTCTGATTTAAACAAGATCCTCTGGCACTCAAGGCTCCAGATACAGATTCCTCAGCACACGGGGGTATTTATTGCTAGATTTCAACCAGGAATGTTTTGTTGCCTTTGTCATTTAGCAAGATTTACTTTGCCTTCTTTACAAAAGCATTATCCACTCCAGTTACAGCCCTTGGAGAGGATTTGGCTCTGCTGGGCCAGTTGGAAGCAATCAAGCCACACAAACACAGCCTGTGGGCAGCTTTGTCGGGATAAGGGTGTCTGGGTATCCTTCACATCATCCTGCTTGCACTCAGGACAAAGCCAGAGGTGTATCCTGAGACAGATCATGTCCTATCCCAATGTACAGCCAACACAGTGTTCAAGTGTGTAACAGCTTCCACCAGCACTGCCCAACCCCACAGTCCTCTCTGACTCAAGAAAAGCCAGACCTTAATGCTGTAGGAAGTGTAAAACACCTCCAGGAAAATAAAAACCAACCAACCAACACAACAACAATACTGCAATAACTCCAAATTAGAAAGACTTCAAGAATGCCCTCTTTGCTTGATATATATTCAAGAATGCCCTCTTTGCCTGATATATATTCAGGAATGCCCCCTTTGCCCGATATAACACATCTATCACTGCTCGGCTGCTCTTCCCAGTTGCAAACCACACGGCTAAAATATGGACAAAGGGGGAAAAAAAGAACCCCCAAGCTGCCAGAGCCCGTGAGGAGCAGGAGAGCTCCGTGTCCGCCCGGGGAACAGGCACGGCACCACCGGTAACACTATCTCCGACTTCAGAGGAAGGGAAACAGCACATTAAGCCCTGGAAGCTTTCCAGAGCTCTGGAGGGGATTCTTGAGCAGCGAAGAGCTGAAGGATTCCTTGTTCACCGATTCCTTGTTCACCTGGGAACTCACTCGGGCTGCGGGGAGAGCAGGAGGAACGGGGGATGCTCCTGTGCTGAAGTCCCACATCCAGCTCTGGGAAGAGATTTCCACCGTGGCCATCTCCTCCTTTCCCCCCCTCAGAGCAGGGACTAAAGGGGCTACACCGTTTTTAAGTGCGGTTCTAGACTTTAGGTTGGAGTTTTCCCCCTTTTATGGGAAAGCAGGATGGGGGAGGAAAGAGTAAGAAAGAAAAGCAGGAGCGTGGGGATAATTACAGCTGTGTCCGTGAGCCCGTGCAGGCTGCACTGGGGTTTGGTCCATCTGGAGTGCAAAGACAGGACGTCAGGATTATTTTGCAGGAGATTTGTAGCTGCTTCCACTCGCAGTGCTGGAGCAGCCCAAGCAAAGGCAGATTGGAATCCAAGTGTGGCTGAAGGAGTCTAAAGATGGTACTTTTCCAGGAGGGGCAGCGGTTATCTGGATGTGCCTGCGGGCCTGCTGCATGTTATCGTGTGATCTGCAGCCCATTTGTTAGGCAAATGTTCTGGGGAGGCCACCTAGGAGCTACTCAGCACAAGAACTCGAGTTTTTACAACTTTTGCCAGCACAGACTCACATGCAAAAGCCTGCAGCTGTTCAGCATTATCCCAAGGTTAGGGAGTTACAGGAGATGTGCTGCTTTCCCTGGTAAGCAGAGGAAAGCAAAGTCAGCCTTCCCAAGCATCTTCCTCAAGTCAGGTCTTCAAGGGCTCTTCTCTATGTCCAGTGTTTGGAGGATTGCAAAGTGTTCAGTCATCACTGCTGAGACATTCTTGCCCAAGGTGGACACTGTCTTTGCCAGCAGCTAAGAATATTTAATCACTTTTCCTCTAAAAACTGGAAGGTGATTTTTAAAAGCCTCTTCATTTAAGCTTTTCCCATCCTTTCCCTCCCCTCTGCATTCTGCAACGGGAAAATGCTCCTCTGCCAAACCAGAGCAGAGCAGAATTAGGAACTGTCCAAAGCTGCTGTTCATCCTCTAAAGGAGGAGAGGAAGTGGGGGACAGTGCACTCATGTTAAGAAGGATTTTTCATATGGTGACTTATCACAAAGCAAAGTGAGAGGAAACAAAATTAAACTTCAGTTGCTGTCAAGAGAAAAAGCAAGCACTGACACTCAGGTGTGCAGAGAAAGAACTCACTCAACTTTGCAGCCCAGTCTGAATGGTCAACAAGCAGGTCTTAGTTGGGCAAAGCCCATTTCATGTGCCCTAAGCCAAGCCTGCAGTGCCAGACTCTGGAGAGCAGGACCCTGAACTCAGGGTGCTCAAGATTCGATGGAAAAGTCAATGAAGGCAAAGGTTTCTCTCTGGGAAAGAAAAAAAAAAGAAAACAAACAACCGAAAAACCAAGAGAAAATCACTGAACCTTTGCCTTTCCTACCACAGCACACTCCAGCAACACTGTCAGGCTGGATCCAAGCTTGGAGATCACCAGTTGAATTTGTGCTCCCACAAACAAGGCTCCCAGTGCTGGAGGCTCCAGCAGGTCCCTGCTCGCCCTGTGCCAGCCCGAAGGACCAGCAGCACAGTGCAAACACTCAGGAGGTCACAAGGTTTTGTGCCAACTCCAGGCACTGCAGGTGGGGCAGATAAGGCTGGTGAAACCACCACAGTACCTTTAGTAAAGATTTCTCTCCCTTGTGGCGTTTCCAAACCCATCTGTTAGAAATCTGCTTTCAGCTGGCTGCAGAGGCTTCTATTGATGTCCTGCCAAAGCACAGCACATGGCCTAGAGGTCCTCACAGAGAACAAAAACCCACCCTGATCCACCAAGGACAAACCTTGCCCCCCTCAAAAACAAAAAGCTTAGGATGCACCCCATGTGTCCTGCAGAATCCCCACTGGGGTTCCTGGAATGTGGCTCTGGGCCAGCTTCCTGCCTACAGGACACACTGCCAGCAGACTTTCCAGGTTTTACCGCAGGCAAGGAGTGACCCAGACTCTTCCCAGACACCCTGCACTGTCTGAAGGCTGTTTAATCTCCCTGTGCAGCTTTACCAGCCTTTTTGCTCGAGAATTTTAGGTACCGACAACGCAAGAAACCTGACGAGTGGCGTTAAGATCCGTCCGTGTAATGTTTCCCAGGAAGCTCTTCCTATTGAAGGAACAATTTTGCTTCTCCATGTAATTGATCCGAGACCATTATAGTGAGAAATCACTGCTGAACACAAGGGCCAGTCGGTGAAAGAGAGAAAGAACCTCCCTCAGCAGCGGCTCAAGCAGCTTCAGAACAAACAACCCGGCGGGGAGATCTCTATCTGACACAGGTCAGATGTCTCTGCTGCTTTCCTGGGCTGCTGCTGCACTGGTGTTGTGCAACCACTAAAGGAAACAGGCTGGGAGAGGTGCCAGGTGCGGGAACAGGAGTTAAAAGGGAACAGAATGGCAGTGGATTCCTGTTCAGGAGCTCAGGTGGTGCAGGAGGGGGCGAGGGGGAGCCACAGGGGCCAGAGCTCTGAAAGGCAGCCTGTGCACCTGATTTCAGCCTGGCCGGGCTGTTTCGCAGCACTTCTATTCAGAAATATCCTAAATGTGCTTTTGTGCTGGAGAGATTTTTTTATTTCACAAGAAAAAAAGGAAATTAAGATTTTTCCCCGCAGTTTCACAAGTTCCTGTAGAGCAGCAGAAGCTGCTGGTGATCAGGGTGCAGGTGTTACCTGACCAACCCTGCAGCACATCCTTGAAGGAGACCCTCAGCACCACATTTTTAAGGTTTTATGTAGCTAAGCAGTAAACAAAGTGGCTATGTTTGGTTTATTGCTGGCATGGTGCGATCACACTTCATGTGAAAGGAATCAAATCCACCAGAAGGAGCAGGTTCTGTTCACCTCTGCACGTGCCAGGGAATTTGCTTTTCCCTTGAGACAGGGCAGATGCAGAAATAGGGCTTTGGGTATCAATTCTCCTACCAAATGCCTGTGGCATCACAGAGGGGTTTGAGACAGTCACAGAGCCAAGAGCTCAGGTTCCTGCAGCTCTGGAGCACCAGGAAGAGAGTGATACCTGTGCATATGGCTGTGCTGCCCTAAATTCACTGTACTGAGGAGAGTCAAGATGAGATGCATCACTAGAGGCCACAAAGTGACTGACAATCCTCATCAATTTGCCTCCCAAATTTGTCTGACAGTCATTTATAGCAGCTCAGGGATGGGGAAGGAGTCCCAGCACCCTGTAGCAGCAGGGACATGGGCTGCAAGGGAACAGGGCTGCAAGGGAACAGGGCTGCAAGTGGATCCACCAGCAGCAGGTAAGAAAAGCTGCTGTTTTCAGCAGAAAGTGCTGGGCCCTGCCCGGCCGAAGGGGGCACTGAGAGGAGTGTGGAGTTCACTGAGTGTTGAATTCATCATTCATTGGCGCTTCCTCACTGTTGCAAGTGCAGCGGAGAAAGAGAAGAGGCAGACAGGGCACAGCCCCTTCTGGGGACACAGACACACCGCGTGGAGAGACAAGGAAAGCTGTGACGGGTCTCACTGGGAATGTTTCTGAGGGATGCGCTGCCCCTGCAGGGCTCCGGCTCCGTGCAAAACGGACAGACAGACTTATCTCCAGCTGCAAATCCAGCGAGAAACTCGGGGACAAGAGGAGCGGGGCAGCAGGAGAGCTGGAGATGCTCGGGGGCTGCGGAGTGTCCCGCTCGCTCTGCTTCTCCCGGGAACGCTCCCGAGCGGCGATATCCCCCTGCTCCAGCCTCGGAGACCTCCCTGGCACCGGCTCCATCCGCGCCGGCCCCTGCCCCGGGCAGGAGCTCAGCCCCCGGCTCCATCCCATCCTCTCTCCATCCCATCCCATTCCCAGCTCCATCCCATTCCACCCCGGGCACTCGCTGCCGGCGCTCGGGCGCGGAGATGCTCGAGATGTTCCGCGCTTCCCAAAGTGCCTTCTCCTCGCCTCCACCCCCGTTACCCGCCCCCCGGCACCCCCTGCGCCCCCGGCCCGGTTACCTGCGCCTTCTCGGGGTCCCGGCAGGTCGCCAGGACGAAGTCTGGGGAGGGGGTGGCGGCCGCGAGCCCCCGCACCAGCCCCAGCCCGATGCCGCGGCTGCAGCCGGTGATGAGCACGGAGCGGCAGCGCGGCTGGGCCATGGCTGGCTCGGCTCGGCCCGGCTGGTCCCGGCTCAGCTGGTCCCGGCTCGGCTGGTCCCGGCTCGCTGCGCTCCGGGCTCCGTTCTCACCCACACGCGGTTCTCAACCTGCGCGATGCGGAGCCGTCCCGATCCCGCCCCCGCCCGGCGCCTCCCCCGGGGTAGGGAAGGAACGGGCTCGGACTGAGGAAGGTGGATCTGCTCTTCCCCCTCTCACAAAGCCCCGAGCCCATCTCGCTCCCAAGCCCCGCTCCACCAACTCCCGCAGGGAACAGAGACCCCTGACCACGGGCTGCTCTGCCTTTGCTAATCCTCACACATATTCCCCACAGGGCTTGCGTGTGCCATCCCACATCAACAACCTATTCCTGATCCACACATTCATACAGAATCTGGTATGTGTAGGGATAGAGGCTTTAATTACATCTGCTGGCACAATATTGTATTTTCTTTATTAAAAGCTCACTGAGCTTTTAAAATATTAACTCCATCCTGATAAGAGGTCAGGGATAGCCTCTCCCCTGAGACTTGGGAGACAAAACCACAAAGAGGTTTTGCAATTCGTTAAAATTCAGTGGAAAAGCCCCTAACATTTTGCTGGGTGTGCCCTGTTTCCCATTTGTTCGTTTATTTCTAAGGAACTGCAATAGCTCGAAAAATGTACAGGATGTACTTAAATATCTGGAAGTGTCTGAAGGTTTAAAGTTCCTGTCACACTCCCAGGGTGAGAGGAGGGTGACAGGACACTTCCAGGGTGACAGGTCCTGAGACACAACAAGTGTTGGCTGTGAGCAAAGATGACCAGTAGCTCCTGGATCAGCCTGGATTCCAGGTCCCCAAAGCTGGTGGGAAAAGCTCATCCCTGTGCACACACTGGAGGTGGCAGAAGCCAGGAAGAAAGGCCACCCTGGATGCTCAAACCTGCTCTTCTTCCCAATAAAGCTCCTTTCCAGCCACCTCTGTCTCCCAAACACTCAATACTCTTCTTTTCCAGGTGCTTTAATCCATTACCTTCCCTCCCAAGTGTGCATTTCACAACTCCCTATGTGACAACAAAGCATTCTGGTGGGTTTGCAGAATCTTTTAAAAAATCCCAATCAGACATAAAACTGCTTAGTGACCTCTTTGTGTTTGGGATCTGAACACCAGGAACAGGGATCACTGAACAACCTGAGATGTTCTGATGAGCAAGAACCCTGGAAGAGTCATCAGATGCTGAGACAACAAAGTCATAACTCACCTCAAGAGCTGACCTGTATGTGCAGGCACATATTTCAGCTCCTCCTCTTCTGCCAGCTCCAGCCACTGACTTCCCAAAATGTCCCAGCCCTGCTCAGGAACCTCAGCTGGAACCTGCCAGCTACACCTGGAGGCAGGGAAATGCACTTCCCAGCTCAGATCTTTGTGGATTGGGGGATGTTTTGTTTGGGATTGACTGGAGAGGTGCCTAAAGTAATAGAATGCCCCAAAATTCCTAACTTCGAGGGAACAGGGATTTAATCCGATGTTTTAATGTTTGACAATCATTCAGCACCAAATTTCTTTCCTTATGAGTAGGCACAGTGGTGTAGCTCATAAGAAACTACTATCAAGTAAATTTAATAGAAAATCAAATACTTTAATGAAATTAGGGAGCATGAGAGAGTAACAGCTCAGATATACCACTAGAACTGATACTACTGGGCTGTGGGGGTCTGCTAATTTGCTTTTAAACGCTCTGTTCTCCAACAAGCATGCAGATTGACAAACTACTAATTCTTCAGAGTGTCAAAGATCCTGAGTAAAGAATTTCAAACCACTCAAAATGTATATATAGGAAATGTCTTATGAGCTGGTGGCCTGCACACAGCATTGCACAGATAAAAATATACTACTCTCAATGCACAGAGCTAAATACTTTCACATTTATCAGAATTTTTTACACAAGGGTTTGTTTTTTATAGAATTCAAGTTTTGAATTTTCTGTATATATCTTCACCTGTATTAAACAAATGCTTATTTACAATTGTGGATAAAGTGTAAAGGCTAGTAAGGCCATATTTCCATATTGTACTGTAACACTGCAAAATATATATACACATAGAACCTAATATAGGCAACAGGGCTAGAAAAGTCACCCCCCATCTGTACAACACCAGAGTCAGTATGAAAAGACAGCTTTGTTAGCACCAGAGCCACTCCCAGGGGTTTAGGAACTGCCTGGGGGCCTCCCAGTTCCACAGGGCACAGCATTCCAAGGGCTGAGCCACAGGGAAGCGGAAGTCCCAGACGGGGACGCTACGGGATGGGAACCACTAAAGAGCAGGAGGGGTGACGCTCCAGCACAACAACCACCGGGACATTTCTCACGTGGAGCCCCCTCACCCTTTGGATTCACGAAGGAGCAGGGAGCTCCAGGAGGATGGATTTAGAGAGCGAGGGTGGGTTTAAGCCCAGGTTGCATGAGCAGGGGGTGCCCTCAGCGGCGGTGCCGGCTGTGCCCGGGGTGTTCGCGCTCGTAGCGGTGCCCGGCGCGCTCGTAGGAGCGGGAGCGCTCGTGCCGGTGGTTCCTGTAGTAGTGGCTCTTCTTCTTGTACTTCCCGGAGTGATCCGAGCGCTCCCGGGAGCGGCTGCGGGAGCGGGACGAGCTCCGGCTGCGGGATTTGCGGGGTTTGTGTGTGGAGTATTTGTAGTCTTTGGATTTCTTGTAGCTCCTCACCTTGGAGCCTTTGTAGCCCGAGCTGTGGTTGAACTGGCGCGGGGGGGAGTCGCTGCGGCTCCGGGAGCGGCTGTGGGATTTGGAGCCGCTGGAGGTGGAGTAACTCTCGCTTTTCCTAGGGAAAAAGAAGAGAGATAACATGATTTTCTTAAATTGTGAGATCTTCATTCTGCACTCTGTTGTTCTGTACACACAACAGATCTGAACAAGTTCACAGAAGTTAATCCGAAACTTTATGCCAAACACTGTGTCCTAAAACATCTGCTTACTGGAGAAATTTCTAGGAACTTGTATCCCTTTCTCCAGCTTCAGTTACAGTGACACTGCCACCAAAACGCCCCAGTTTGGAGTTTGGTCTGGAGTTTAACCAGCAGCACACACTGCTGTGTCACTTCAGCCTCTTGGGGACAAACCACTGTGAAATCCCAGCCTGGGAGGGTCTCCCAGCACAGCCCCCCCGTGCAGCAGCACATACCTGTGCTTAGGGGATGCAGATCTCGAGGCTGATCTGGAGTAACTCTGATCTCTGCTCCCGCTCCGACTTCTGCTCTCTCTCCCTTTCTGGACACTGCAAGAGACAATCAACACTCAGGTATTTTGCTTAAAGTAGTCGTGGGAAGAAATAAGCTGCTTCCTTATGAGGCCTTACCCATTTACTGGGCTATTGGAGCTCGTTCTTTTGGCTCCCTCTGTTTTCCTTTTAGCATTCTTCATTGCCTGGACAGGTAGTGGGGAAGGTTTATTTCCTTTAACCTCCTTTGGAGACTCTGGAAAAAGAAGCCTTTATTACCTATTTTGCAAGTATGGGAAGTACCTGAAAGGGCTAAAGCCTCCCCTCGCCCCATCTCACCACCTCTGCAGTGATCACAACTGTACAGCTGTATTTTCCACACACACAACCACCCACAAACAGATCTGAACAAGTTCACAGAAAGCAGAAGTTAATCTGAAACTTTTTGCCAAATGTTTCACCCAAGGAGTGAACCGGAGGCAGAACAAAAACTTCCTTTTCTTGCCAGTTATTCAGTATCACTTTAAAGGTAAACTGAGGGGAGATGATGGTAAATGTTACCTTCTAGGCAAGACTGGCACCAGACTGGAAACTTTCAACCAAGAAGGGCAGGAAAATATTCCCCACCAGTCACCCCAAATGTTACTCCTGCCAGAGCTCCTAACACACCTCTGCTTTAATACTGTTTTAGCATAACATGCCAGTTGCAAGTATTTATTGCCAAAACCACATAAAAAACAAGCCCCTGCACTATATGAGTTTAAACTAGTCTTAATTTTAGACTAATTGGATTTTAGCTTTTATCTGATTCAAGAAATCACAAAGTTGCAATGCTATTCAAACTCTGCCAGTTGAACAGTAGCTAGAAGCCAGCTTGAAAAAAAAATCCCCAACCAACCCCAAACCACACTTGTAAATGCATCCCAAAGGGGTAAATATACATGAAAGATGAGCAAGTTATTAAAACCGAGTTATCCACTATTTACCATTTTTCGGGGCGGGGGAAAATCCTGATGTGTTATCCAAACTCGGGACTCCCTCAGGTACCAGACCTTTAGCTTGTGCTTTTGCCTCTTCAATAGCTAATTTCTTCTTTTCTATTTTACTTTCCAGATCAGACAAATCCACCTGTGGACAAAGGAGCACTGCTGGTGACAACACTTAGTGAACTGAACTTCCTGCTTGGTCGCTCACAGGGACAGCGACTATTCCTTGTTCCCTTCGTGTTCCCTTCCCAAAAACAGCCTTGATTTCAAACAGGACAAGGAGGTTTTTTTTTTTAAGTGAGGGCTCCCAACATGCAAGAGAAACAAACCTTTTTCCGTGTGTAGAGCTGCAAAATTTTCAAGCAGATTTCTTGGATTTCTTCCTCCGTCGCTCCGAACAGTAAAAACCAGTGCGGGCGATTGGGAAGCGGGATCTGAAAGGGAGAGACAGAAACACCCTCAGCTTTCTGCTCCTGTGAGGAGGCTTAAAACCACCCCCCAAATCCATGGAAAACCGTGGCTGCTCACCTCCAGCGTCCTGGCTGCCAGGTAAATGCATGCACAGGCAATGCTTTCTGGCTGGAACCTCACAAAGACATCTGTTCTCAGGCTGTCGTTCATGTAGTTCCTGGAAGACAAGGAGAGCAGAAGGTTGCAAGGCACTGCAAAGCTCTTTGGGGTTTTTTTTCTTGCTTTGTTTTGTTGTTTTATTTCTTTTGGTTTTACTTCTACGAGGGCTATTTCTTTCTGCATTCAGTTACTAGACTTCAACATTACAGTCCTGTAACTCTATAAGGAGAAGCTGAATGATTTCTTTTTTTTTTTACTTGGAAAAAA